CCCCTGAGAATTTTTATTTTTTAATTCTGGGCCGTGCCTCTTCCACTCTCAGTGCTCTTCAGGTACATCCATCCCTCGTGGATAGTGATTATGAGGGCGAGATAAGGCTTTTAGTCTCCGCCCCTCGAGGCCCGGTTACTATTACTGCTGGCCAACGCCTTGCACAGGCCCTTCCCTTACACTTTACTGGTAACTTTCAGGCTAGGGGACCTCTCTCGGGGCCTTCTTCCCCTGGTTCCTCCGATGCCTACTGGGTTCAACCCATATCTAAGGACAGACCCACCTTGGTTCTACATATAGAGGGCAAGGCCTTTCGTGGCATTCTGGACTCTGGGGCAGACTCCACGGTGATCTCCCACCAACATTGGCCCCCCAGCTGGCCCTTGCATCCTTCCCTCACACACCTCCAAGGGATAGGCCAGTCTCAAAATGCACTTCAGAGTTCAAGGCTGTTAACCTGGAAAGATAAAGAGGGCAATTCAGGCCAGATCCAGCCTTTTGTTGTGCCAGGCCTGCCAGTCATCTCTCCCAGGTGGGGGTTTTTATGTGCAGCCCCAGTGATGCTGTCACTGAACAAACGCTGGAGATGCACTACTTACCAGGAAAGGGATTGGGGAAGACAAATCAGGGAATGGCTGCCCCGTTGCAGGCCGCTCCCAGGAAGGGACGCCGGGGCCTGGGATTTGATGAACAAGAACATTTTTTCTGAGGGCCACTGACTCCCCTGCACTCCAGGCTGATAAAATTATTTGGAAATCGGACTCCCCTGTCTGGATTGATTGGTGGCCCCTCCCACACAAAAAGGTTACGGCCGCCCTAGAGCTGGTGCAGGAGCAACTGGTGGCCGGTCACCTTGAACCCTCCACCTCACCTTGGAATACCCCCATTTTTGGTATTGAGAAGAAAGGGGGACGATGGAGGTTACTTCAAGACCTCAGGGCGGTAAATAAGACCATGCAGCCCATGGGACCCCTACAGCCTGGGCTGCCCTCCCCTGTTGCTATTCCTAAAGGATTTACAAAACTGGTGATTGATTTAAAAGATTGCTTCTTTTTGATCCCCCTACATCCAGATGATTGTCCCCAGTTTGCTTTTAATATACCTATTACTAATCAGGTGGGTCCATGTCCTCGCTTTCAATGGTGGGTACTGCCACAAGGAATGGCTAATAGCCCCACCCTTTGTCAAAAATATGTAGCCCAGGCAATTGACCCCCTTCGCCTGAATCATCCAGAGATGTACATTATTCACTATACAGATGATATTTTGGTCGCGGGAGGGGATCTGCTGAAGGTACAGACTGTTGCCCAAGAATTGATTGCTTCTCTTAAAGAAAGGGGGTTTTTAATTGCACCAGAAAAAATTCAGGTTGTTCCCCCTTTACTATTTTTGAGTTTTGAATTATTTCCTCAGATTATAAAGACCCAGAAGGTGCAGATTCAATCATCATCCCTACATACTCTTAATGATTTTCAAAAATTATTGGGTGATATTAATTGGCTTCGCCCCTACTTGAAACTTACCATGGGTGATTTGAAGCCCCTTTTTGAGATCCTTCAGGGTGATCCCAATCCCACTTCCCTTCTTTCTATGGATGAGGAGGCCAAAAAAGCCCTAGTTGAAGTAGAAAGGGCAATTGATCAACAATTTGTGGGGTATTTTGATCCTCATAAACCCTTTTGGCTTTTAGTTTTTTCCACAACCTTTACCCCTACGGGCTTGTTGTGGCAAGAGCACGCTCTATTTTGGGTCCACTTACCTGCCACCCCATCCAAAGTTCTTGTCACCTACCCCCCCCCCCAGTATGCCGACTTGTGATTATGGGGAGAATTAATTCCCTTAGGATATTTGGCAGAGAACCCAAGACTATAGTGGTTCCCTATAGTAAGGCCCAGATCCAATGGCTTATGCAGTTTGATGATGAATGGGCCATCATGTGTGCTACCTTTCAAGGAAAATTGGAAAACCATTATCCAGGAAACACGTTGCTACAATTTTTTCATTCCACCCTCCTGGTGTTTCCCAGGAGGACAAGGGTGAAACCCCTTGTGGGGGCTGCCCTGGTTTTTGTTGATGGCTCCTTGACGGATGCCATCATCAGTGGTAAAGTTGAAAGCTTTAAGACTGAATTTTCTTCAGCCCAGCAGGTGGAATTGAGAGCTGTAATAGAGGCCTTCACTATCCTAGCCGAGGAACCTTTTAATGTTTACACAGACAGTGCCTATGTTGCCTCTGCTGTAAAAGTGTTGGAAACAGTGCCTTTTATATGACCATCCTCCACAGCTGCAGTGCTGTTCTCCCAATTACAGGACTTGATTCTCTGTAGAAGAGAACCTTTTTTTATAGGCCACATTCGCGCCCATTCCAACCTCCCGGGTCCCTTGGCCCAGGGGAATGAACAGGTCGATCAATGATGGTGGTGAGCACAGACCCCTTTGTGGAGGCCCGCTTGGCACACTCCCTTCATCATTTAAATTCTAACACTCTCCCCCTAATGTTTAGAATCACGAGAGAGCAGGCTCGACAGATAGTGAAGTCCTGCAAGGCATGCCTAACCCATCTACCCGAGCCCCATTTGGGGGTCAATCCTCAAGGCCTAGTGCCAGGAGAACTTTGGCGGATGGATGTGACCCATTATTCGCCCTTTGGGAAGCTAAAATATCTACATGTCTCTGTGGATACGTATAGTGGCTTTGTTCATGTTACTGCTCAATCAGGAGAGACCACTAGACATGTTTCTCATGTTCTTTCTTGTCTTGCCACAATGAGGAAGCCCAGGACCATTAAGATGGACAATGGCCCTGGATACACCAGCTCAGGGTTTAAACAATTCTGCTCCCAGCTGAGTATAAGACATGTTACCGGTATCCCTTACAACCCCTAAGGTCAGGGCATAGTAGAAAGAACACATTTGTCCCTTAAGAACATGCTTTCCAAGCTACAGTCCGGGAATGGACATCTGTATCCTCTTCAGGGCAACTCCAAATTGTTGCTTAACCATGCCCTGTTTGTGATGAATTTTCTTACCTTGGATGCTTTAGAAAAATCTGCTGCTGATTGCTTTTGACACCCTACCACTAAACATGATTATGCACGGGTCCTTTGGAAGGATCCCCTGTTGAATAAGTGGCAGGGGCCTGACCCAGTACTTGTCTGGGGCAAAGGATATGCTTGTGTTTATGACTCCCAGGCACAGAACGCCAGATGGCTGCCTGATCGCCTGATTAACCCCACTCCTCTTCCTTTTAACCTTTTAACCCCACCCAGGGTGGCTCCTGAGAATTTCCTTCTTGTGCTCTTTTTCAGGACCATGCGAACAACATGGGAAATTCTTCTGATCTTCTGGGGATTGCTCTGCCCCTGGAGCGCAGCCTCGTCCCGCCGAACAGGATTTTCGGAAATTTACAACTTTCATTAAGGAACAAGTTAATGCAGCTACTCGGAAGCCAGTCTCTGTCCACTACCATCGCCTGGCTCTGGAAGAACCAGGGGACGACTGCCAACCCGCTGATGGCGGCCCTCCGGAGACTACCTATGAGTGGTCCCCAGGGTCCCGTTACAACTCTGTCGTCTCCTGTAGAGTCTTGGGTCTGACAGCAACGTTCTGCGGCAACCCCAGGGAGAGGCAGTGAGCCCCAGAGGCAACACCCAATGCAGCCGAAGAGGAGTGCGTGGTGCTGGGGACGGGAGCAACCCACACAGCCTAAGACAGGGGGCTCACCCCTCCCTGGGAGACAGACGTGTGACACAATCACTAGCCTAAGACAGGGACGTGCTAGACCACCACTCTTCTCATTGTACAGGGAAGAGGGAGATGTTGAGGACCCTGGAGCACCAATCCCAGCTAACAAAGTTGCTTAATGAATTGCCTTTATGAGAAACTGCCTATTTTGGGAGAATCTGACCTTCAGCTAAGAAAGAATTTCATGTTTATAAAGAACTATTGCCCGGGACATTCCGGGAAAAACCGCAGAATGCTCCTCCAGATGACTGACCTTATCAATAGTTGATAGAGTCCCCACCCTGTTCCTTGTTCCCCTTCCTCCCTTGCCTAGAGTATATCTTGTAAGCCGCCTCCACATTAAAGCAGACCTTGACAAGTCTACACTTGCTTGGTCTCGTCCTTTCTCTCACCCGTGTTCCTTTTCAGGTGAGGTTCCCCTCGGCCCCCACGAATAACTGGACCCGTGGGTCAGGTCACCCTCTGACCTCCATATGTGTGCTATGGCATTCCCCTCTCCCTTACATGAATTAAATTGTGTATTTAAAAAAAGAAAAAAATGAGTCATTCCTCTCCAGGCGTGGTAATGTATCCACCATGCTGACTAACTCCTCAGGAGGCTAAGGCAAGAGGATTACTTGGGCTTAGGAATTTGGGACCAGCCTGGGCTACATAGTAAGACACTCCTCCCATGACAGAAAGAAAGAAAAAAGAAAAAGTCACTGCTGAGACTTCGGAGGAGTCCTGACTACTTCAACAGAACAAACATCAATGACAAAAAGCACAAAATTATTTTTGAGTGGGCAGCTAAGGCTGTTTGCTATATAGTTAAAGCGGGGGAAGTTCTACTAGGGGACTTCTGGGGGGAGTGTTGGTAAAAGGATACAAAATCTTAGCTGGACAAAGGAATAAATTCAAAACACCTGTTGTATTGTACAGCAGCTGACTACAGTCTTTTGTGCAATGGGGTTACCACAGTCTATTATGCAGCAGGGTGACTACAGTCTGTTGTACAGCAAGGTGACTACACTCTTGCACAGCAGGGTGACCACAGTTAATAAAAAATATACTGGAGTCTTGAAAACTGCTTTGCAAAGATGGAAGGCTACAAAATTAAAATGGAGCAACAATTCAGAGTTAAAGGTGACAAGAAAAATCTAGATGAAATACAGACTAAGGAAACATTTTAGATGTAGAATAAAATGACAAACAGAGGAAAACGGGTACCCACTGAAACATTAAATGAAGTGGAAACTTAAGGGTTCTTTGGAAAGTCCGTCCGATGGTGTTTCGCTGGGGCAAATGTCTCAGTCCCACAGGGCATTGAACTGGGATCAGAAGACCTGGAAGAGAGAACTGGAGGACAGGGGAACTCGAAGAATGACAGCTTGCCTATAGGCTGATCAAACTGTAACTTTTATTTTTTCACATAGGGGCTATATACACATAAAAGTAGGATGTGGGGAAGGGGATGACACAGGAGTGTAGGTGTTCTCAGGGGGAGTACAGATACCTTCCAGAACAGAGTGTTGGCTGGGTAAAGAAGCAGAGGACAGGTCACTATGACTCTGTCTATGATTCATTTGTTCTTATCTAAGCTGGTACCCTCCACTAAGGCTACCTATCCACAAGACCTATGACTACTTTTTCTTATCCAGGCTGGTACATTTCCACTAAGGCTACTTGTCTACAAGATCTATAGCTATCTGTTAAAGTATCAGTGTTTTTCCACAGAGACCAAGACTTTGTGTTAGCGGGCATGTATGGCTGACTTAAGCCTATAGCTGATTTTGGCCTTCAGTGTATAAGCAAGGCAGCTCCTGACAGGCAAACACGTGAAGGAACGTTTAGCTAAAGCAGATACAGGTAGAGGGATATTCTGCTAAAGCAAGCACATGAAACAACACATGGTGAGGGAGTCTTTGCTAACAACACGTATGTATTGGTCGACCTTACATTGCTTAGTTGAGTGCATTTGTTGAGACTCCATAGACAGAAATGCACCAAAAAACTTCTGGTGGTGTGCTGTAGTTTCTTCCACGGGCTTGGGCTGATTAGCAGAGTAATGTCAGCAAAGACAGACACACATGCTGCGATGCACATGCTGAGGCAAGACATGTGGACATGTGATGTTTGGAGGGTATATATAGGACTTGACAGACAGTGACAGAGACAGCTTGGCTTGCTGGTACAGATATCTGTGCAAGGCTTGTTGGTCTTGAGTCTTCACTGATCTTCGCTACACTGAGAGAGGCACAGCTGAGAACTTCTGGCATCCCTCTGGTTTCCTCCTGCTGACTTGTACCAATTCAGCTGAGGCCTGGCTCTCTCTGCTAAGCAGTGCCACCACTGCTGACTCATGTTTGCTATCCTGACTCTAGTGAACTGGACTGTTGGTGTATCTGTGAAGTGTTTGTGAGTGGATTGAGTGGCTACTTCTAACCTGTGAACTGAACTGAAGATTTCTAGACAACACAGATGGGAGTTGCTCCAATGAACCTTTCTAAACAGGTCCACTCCTCCCCCCATATCCTTTCTTTTCTATTACCTGTGGTGGGCTACAAGGGAGGTTAAAGTGTTTAAGAACCATCATTAAAGCTAGGCTTTTGAAAAAAATTAACGTTAAAGTTAAGTGCAGAAAAGCAAGACAGACTGAGACAAGTAGAGACCATGAGGCAGAACCACAAACTTCTGGTTCTGGGCTATGAACCTTTTACCCCTTAATGTCTGAATATTGACAGATTAGGAGCCCATTATTATTAAACCAAGTTAGAACTAGCCAGGTTCAAGGTGACTACACAAATCATAAGCAGAGGGGACTGTGACCAAAACAAACAAGCAAGCTCACTCTACACAACCCTCTGGCTCTGCTCACTCTTGATTTGAGAGACCAAGTCTTTTAAGTTCAGACTCCATTTTAGAAACTTTGAATTCAGGTAAATTAGCAGGTGGCACCTAGCACTGGTATCCAAAATACCCCCCCAACAAGACCAGCATCTCCAGGATAATCTCCCCCAACAAAACCAGAGCCTAGCTCCAGTTTCTAGGCTAACTCCAACAAATCTAGTGTTTCCAAGTTAATTGCCAACAAGCCTGCCCCCTGTCTAACAACCATCAATACAGAGGGAAGCAGAAATTAAGTTTATGGTTTGACTCCCAGCACCAGTAAATTATGCTAAAGGACATAGTAGCTCTCCAATTAGATGCTCGCCAGGCTAGAAACACTTACCCACCTCCCTACCCAATCCCTCCACTTGGTATAAAGCACTATACATTCACTTAAAACTCACTGATTTGGAGGTCACATGGGTGAGATGCATTATGAGTCTCCTAATAGCTTTGAGCAGATAGCTCCTTTGACATAGGGGTTGGCAAGCTCAACCTTTGCAGAAACTTTCAGACCTTGTTTGTAGAAAACACTGGTTCTTCACCATACCTGGCAAGAGTCTTGGCGTCTCTGTCTTCATAGTTTATCTTTCCCTTTGGCTCCCCCGGTCTTTCAATAAGACTCTGCTCAGCTCTGCATGAAACATGATGATGAAGATGATGATGATGATGATGATGATGATGGTGAGGACGACGATAGCCCCAGACCTGGCCTACTGATGACTAAAGCAAATATGTTTTCTTTGCTCTGCCCATGTGCTTTTTCAGTAACTGTGCACCTACAGTCCACCAGTCTTACTGTAAGACCCAGATCAAACCATGAGACCAGGACAGTTACACAAGTTGATGGTACCAGCTTTATAACACAGCAGTGGTTGAGTGAACTTGACAATCTATTAAATATACCCCCAAACACACACACACACACACACACACACACACACCATACACACACCATACATACACACATACATGCACACATACACATATACACACATATACACACACAGCCAGTCAGTGTGTTTGTGCATAAGAGAAAGAACATCTTCAAAGACCACACTCATGACTAATGGATAATTATCAAACTTTAGGTCCCATAGAAAATCAACGAAAGCTTGCTGCCGCATTTGTTTAAACAAGCACTGGTCACCTTCATTCGGTGTTACTTCCATTTGGCCTGCTCAAATAGCTCTCGAGAAGGTTCCAATAGAGAGCCTTGCTGGTCTGGTTGAGTATGTGGCTTGGTGTAATTTTTACTGCTCTAATGGCACATGCTTCTGCTGTCCAGAGTCAAGGGGAACAAAAAGGCTCAGATGAGCAGCTATGAAAGAAGGGTTAGTGGAGCAGCAACAGCAACTGCAGCCTGGGAGTGACTAGAAACACACATCTGGGAACTCACACTGGGGCAGCTGAACCAGAAATCTGGGGGCGGGACCAGAGGTCTGCCTTAATAATTTCTCCCAGACACTCTACTTCAACTGTATGTTTGCAAATCTGAAGGGGGAAAATGAATATTTTAAAACATCAAGAGTCATAAAACTTGAAGTTATTTGGCATGATAAGGAGGACAAGGTTCCAGGATGGCTACTACTAAGTCAGGAAAATAGGTTTGCTGTCAACAGGGGCTCCCAGTCCGTCCCAGCTTCTCAGCTGCTCCATCAGAGCTAAAATCTGTGGTTCTAATGCTGGCTTCACATTAGAGCCACAGACCCTGCCAACAAGTGGGAATCCTGGGAGTCAGAGAGCAGGCATTATTAGGTAATTCCAATGTACAGCTGTGATTCTGAACCATTGGTCTGGATGGAATCCCTGGACTGACAGCCACAGCCTTGACCTTGGTAAGAGGGCAGAGCTTCACTGGGGGAGTTCAGTGGGGATGGGTGCTGGGCTATGAGATCATCCTCCCAGAATCCTCCCTGATCTCTGATGGACACTGGGGTCCTTATACAGCCTCGAGTTCGCGAAGTGAGAAGCCTGAGTTTCAACAGAGGCTGTGCCTGAAGGATCTGGAAAGAGTTCAGAGGAGAGAAACAAAGATGACTAAAGAAGAGGACAACAGAGCCTTTGAAGGGAAGTGAAAGGAAACAGAACAGCCCAGCCTGGAAAGCTGAGAGACAGCCACGCACTCCTGTTGAGGGTGTGCTCACTGCTGATCTGCCCAGCTTCATTTTCACTGAGGATGAAACAGGAAAACAAATAAATGTCACCCACCTGTATCTGTGTAAGTCCTTTCACTCTCTATAAACTTCTACGTCCCCAGAGGCACTCATCCTTGAGTCCGTGAGACTCTGAGTCCACTTGACAGGGGTCAGGATAAATGGAAATGCCCTGAAGCTTGAAGAGCAGCTGGTTAGAGATGCTTCTTTTAATGCACAATAAAAAGCAGAACTGCTTTTCTCTAACAGGGATGCTTTATGTATTTCCCATTTGACTTTCAGAATTGCATTATTAAAGGGCTGGCAAAATGGCTCATTAAGTAAAGGCACTTGTCACCCAACCCGAGGTAAATCTCTAGAATCCACATGACATGCAGAAGGAAAGAATTAACTCCTGCTGGTTTTCTGTGGCATACTCTCTCTTCCCCCCCCCACAAACATATACACATTAGAATATTCATCCTTAAAATTAATTTTTTGTTGCTGGCACAGCAATACCTGCTTGCACCATGCTCTAAACTCAATCCCCAGCAACACACATACACACACACACATACATACTTATACACACATTCAACAAGAAATATATATATATATATATATATATATATATATATATATATATATATCATAGTTAAGCTATTTTAGACACTGATTTCCAACATACCTGAATTTTGTTGGGGCTCTTATTATTCATTAGTGCCAGGATACTTTACCATTTGCCAGGATATTAGTGCAAGTATATTTTACACTTGAATGATGTCTTATCTGAATGCCTTTCACCTTGACAACATTATTTGGTCTATTAAAAAATCATTTGAAGCCATAGAAAGGCACTACCCTCCCATTTGAGAAGGAGAGCAACTTCCCCATTGTCTCACAGTAAACTGTAGAACTGGAGGATTTTCCAGGGCAAGTGATTCTTGCTTTCAGGCCCTGTGCCATGCTAGCCACACTCATCCTTTGGCATGTATAAAGCCTGGTTGCAACACAGATCACTGGATCCACCCCAGAGTCCTGAGTCAGCAGGTCTTGGGTGAGGTCTGAGAATTCTCATTTCTAGTAAGTTACCAGAACTGTTGGCACTGAAAGCCACTGGCTCACACCATTCACTGTACACACATTCCTGGTGTCTACCTTCTCCATTCAATGTTTAGTTCTCTGTTCTTCTCTAAGAGTTCCTTGGAGCAGGAAGGTAAAGCAGTCTCCTGCTATGTCCAGGTCAAGAAGAGATAAAGCCGGCTACCTCCCGTGGGGCTCCCGTTTTGTATGCTTGGTGAGAACCCCGTTCAAGGACATATAAGAATTGGATGTATATAAATGACTTCTTCAGGATCCTTGGGCTCTGCAGGGTAGCAGGGAATGGAATACACTGGCTCATAAATCTAAATGATTCATAACAACAGCCTACATAGCATAATAAATGCTTCAAGAAATCAATGGGCAAAACTTCTGTGTTGCAGCTACACCTAAACACACTCAAAAATTAATGGCTGGAGTTTGAACGCTACACCAGAGTAGTAAATTGTCTAGCAAAGTGATGCCTGGGTGAGTCAGTATGAAACTCCAGTACAGTAGCGGTCCCAAGCTGAGCGCTTGCAGGAGGAACACTCTGCAGTGACAAGCCAGGGTCTCTTTGGGATCAAGACTCAGGCCCAGAGTCTGGGCTACGTTCTCTAGTGAAAGATCAACCACAAGAGTGCCCGGTCCTGGTGAACCTGCTTAGCCACACCCAGGGTTCTTTGTTAGTACATGCACCTAGTTCAAGGGAGTGGCCTTTGTTTTAAACTGTATTCTCAACACCCGGTGACCTTTAATGCCACTGGGGTGCGAAAGGGAAGGAACACCTTTCTTGGTGTGTGGGAATGATAAGGGAAGGGAACTTCAAAGGAAGCAAAGAGAAAAAAAGAAATATTTGAAACCAGAATCTCTCCAAGCCTGCAAATAGCATTTCAGAAGTCTCTAGAACAGGACCAGGGAAATGAAAGCCATTTCCAGCCCAGGCAGTTCCCACCCTAAAAACCAAGAAAGTCATTCCTCCTGGAGCATTCTGTGGCTGGCCTGATCCCGGTTAGTGGCTTACTGTTCTCTAACCAGCCCACAAAGAGAGACACAAAAATAAAAATCATGTTCTGGACTCTTCTGAGCCCCAATCCGTCTCAGTCAGACCATCTTGTGGTGTGGGAGAAAAAGAAAAAACCAATTCCCAGAGCCTGTCCTGCGGGTTCAAGGGCTCCTCGTCCACTCTGTCTGGTTACCCCTTGGTGAAGCACCAGTCTCTCCATTTCCACTCCGTGAGGTGAAAAGGAATTTCTTCAGTATGCTATCTTGATCCTGTTGCTGAGCTGACCTCTCCAGACTTGCTTCCTCTTCAAGGCAAACTTTTTTGGTTTTGTTCGTTTGTTTGTTTTTAAAGACAGGGTTTCTCTGTGCAGCTCTGGCTGTTCTGTAACTTGATTTGTAGACCAGGCTGGCCTTGAACTCAAAGACTCATCTGCCTCTACCTCCTGAGTGCTGGGATTAAAGATGAATGTCACCATTTTGAGGCAAATGGTGTGTGTGTGTGTGTGTGTGTGTGTGTACAGGTGCATATGCTTGTGCTGGAGCAGCCTCCACTCTTGGCCTCAGCCTATCTTTGTATTGGCCTTAAATTCATATTTATGTTCAAGTCTTTGGCAGTAGGGCAACTAACTGTTCCATAATGTGCTGTAAATAGTTATCTAGTTTTCTGTATATTCTAGTATTTGACTTCTTGATCTTTCTGGCCAGGGACAGACCCCTCCCCGTCCCCTCCCCCCCAAAAAAAAAGGTAGCAACTGATTCTTGGAGGTAGCAAGAACCCCTTGGTGAGAGGGTGCACACCTTTCAAAGACAAACCAACAAATCTAGAGGCTGACTCTGTCCTAGGAGACCCTGTACCTGCACTTCAGCCAGCCCAGGCTCAGGTAACCGATGAAGCAAAGCTATTACCATAGCTCATTGCACCCCCAAAGCACCCTCACCAGAGAGCATCTCGAGTGCTTCATCTGCCATGCCTTGCCAAGGAAGCCACAATACAGATCCCAGACTAACGTTTCTCATGCCTCTGTCTCTGGTCTGGACACACCGGTTTCTTCCCCAGGTAACTTATATGACATGCCATGCTTCCTGTCTCTAGCACAAGAACTTTTTTCCTGTGACTCTATTTTGTCTTCTAGCCTTCCTCAGAAGGTCTGCATTGACCCAAGCCATAGAAACAAGGGCAGGGTGGGGCCCCAGGAGTAACCAGCCTGTCAGAGGTCTTTGATCAACACCACATATGCCAGCTCTTAGCAAAGCCTCGACGTTTCCTAAGCACAGCAGAAGTTTGGGGACTCAGACTCACTCCGTCTGCTCCACACATCTCCACAGAGGAAGGGAATGCAAGAAGACGGAGGTGCTTGACAAGAATCTAAACTCTGGAAACCAAGGTGCCATTTTCAAGTCAGAGTCTGCTTTCTGAGTCATGTGTCGCAGGATTTATGTTTGGAAGACCCGCCTCTATGCTATGCTTTGTACTTCTCCTCCTGAAGACCCAAGGAAACAATGTTTCCCCGGTAGTCTCCTAAACACCAGAATGTGACCTTTCTGCATGCAAAATGTGGTTCATCTCCACTCACCCAGTGATCTGCCCAGCAGGACCACTTCCTTCTGTGTGTGTGCACCTGTAGGTTCCCTGGAGAAAGTCTCATTGTCTTCCCAGCTGCAGTGAACCCCCTGTCTTAACGCTTCTCTCTCTAATTTCTTAGTGAACAGTTTCTTTTTTCATCATGTTTTGGGTTTCATTGTGACATTTCCATACATATATAACATTATTTCTTATTCATGTTCTCCCATGCACTAACATCCCTCCTGCTTCTTTCTGGTCTTGCTGACTCCGCCTTTCCCAGTCCCCCATAGGCTCCTTTTGCTTTTGTCACACACACACACACACACACACACACACACACACACACACACACAC